CTGTTTTCTCTTAATTAGCTCGAATCATTCTCTCAGTTTATCACAATACTAAAACAGGGATATGAATGTGGAATTTCCTATCTGATGGATAGGAAAATCATTAATGTTTTGGGACAGGATCTAATTTGGTGATACTAAATTTAAGTATGGATTGGGGGGTGGTGGGGTGGTATGGGGAGGTTGTGTCTTTTTCGTCCAAGTTTGAGGAAAATCTGATTCCCAGCTATGGAACACTTCCATAGTAATTATAGTTCTAAAGTAGTAAAAGGTTGTTATTTGAGATATTAAGTTTTACCCTTAAGCTGATGCTAAACAAGTAACCTAGAAGCAAAAGGCAAATTTATGATCTCTTTACATGGGTTCAGAAGCTGTATGTAATTTTTCTCCCTCTTTTTAACAAGAAAGTCATACAGGTCATGATACGGCTTTGTTACTTCATACAATATCATTGTGCATTATATTATAAGCAAGTAATAGTGTAATTATATGTAGGACATCAACACTTTAATATTCTAAAACTCATAATAACATTTTATTGTATTTATTTGGATCTTCAGAGTACTGAAGTCACCTGACTATATCGAAAATAAATTTAAAACTTCCATATGGCAGTTTAAGGAACTGTTTGTCACTGTTTCTTTTTCAGATTTTAAATCTTCAAACTACTGCCCCTAGCGCGCAAGCGCGCCGAAGATGAACTCACGCCCGGGGAGACAGTTCCCCCTTTCTAGTAACTTCCCTGATTCGGATCGTCATCAGTGCGCGCCGCGGGTGAGTTGGGTTGTTTCTGTCCGCCGCTTTAGGACTGAGGCCGCGGCGCGGAGGACTCGCCTGGAACCGTGTGGTTGGAGCGAGTCGGGCCCTACCTGCCATGTCGGAGAGTGCGGAAAGTTCTGCGGAGACCCACAGCTCCTCTGAGTCCTCCGCTCAGAGCTTCGCTGCTGCCGAGCCGCGTATCATCAAAATCACGGTGAAGACTCCCAAGGAGAAGGAAGAGTTCGCTGTGCCCGAGACCAGCAGCATCCAACAGGTGAGGGGTTGGGGGCGGGGAGTGCAGCCAGGGGCAAGAGCCTTTCCACCTCCCACGCTGGAGGGTGAGGGTCCTTCGCGATGATAAAGCAGCTTCTGCTTATCCGAGCTGTTTTCGGTGCTGTTGGGCGAGTATCGGGGCTGGCCCGGCCTTGTGGAGGGCCGCTGCTAACAGGCTATTGGGAGTGGTGAAGAAACCTTCTGCGTCGTCTCCTCCACGGCTCCTCCCTTTTGCGATTCTGAGAGCCGGCCCGGGAGGTGGACGTAGCTTGTTTCGTAATTCTGAGTTGCCCTGCTGAGCTGACTCGGTCTGGCAATAGGAGGCTCACTGGCTAACTAGTACAACTGTAGAAAACATGCAGTCACCTACGTGGTGGTGCTATAGTGTCAATAACTATCTTGATCTAAAATTTGCTTTAGAAACAGCAAGTAGGCTATGGCAATGATCTCTTAATTTTAGAAAAGCCACGTCTTTAGACTGTACAAAACTTCCACTACAAATAAAGCACAGCTTCTGCCGTGCTTCAGTGTAGTAGTGTCTGATAACTGAATTGTTAGGGTCTTTGCTCTAAGTTTCTATGAAAGTTAGTATCTCGTGCCTTTGTTTCAAGAGAAACAGTGGCACCTACTGAATCGTTGACACTATTTCCTGCAGCACTTCAGTTTTTTGGAGGCCTTCCATGGGAGTATTTACCAGGATTTAATTAGTTTAGATTGGGAGGCTACAAATTGTAGGAAAGGTGTGGTCAAAGCATAAGGCAGATATCTATAAAGCTACTCTCTCCTACTTGTGAAGGATGTAGATATTGCTATGCTAAAATACTTGAAAAGGTGAAGGTCCCTGAAGGATATTCAGAGCTTACTTCATTTTCTATAAAATTTCTCTGAAACTCAGTGTGTGCAGCTTGACATCATGTTATTTTTTTTTGTGCAGTTGATAACTGCGAACCTCACAAAAATGATTACATATGTAAGAGTGCAATTGATATATTGAAATGGAGCTTTAAATCGTTAATTGCTGATGAGTCAGAAAAATTTATTTTCAGGAGGGAAATACAAAACGTGAGTTAAGCTCTGAGTGATCTTCTAGCCAGGGTGTGCCACCTAATTTTAAAATTCTTTGTAGTTGCATTTTGGTTTTTTATATAATATGCTGGTTCTAATTTAAAGATCACATTTGACCTGAAAAGCAGTTTGATTGCAATAATATTGGGGGCTTCAGGAATTATAACTAAATTCATTTAAGATGTAAATTCATAATATGTCTAACTTTAACAGCATGATTTCAAATGTGAATCCCAATAGGAATATCAGGTTTTTCTAATAGATGGTTGTCTTAAAAACTGAAATAGTTATACAAGCTAACAAACCGATATTTTTTTACTGAAAAAACTAATAAAAATTAAGTGATTAATAGAACATATTGCTTTAAAATATCTTCATTGTCTATAGATATCTTAAACTTTAAATATTATCTTGGTGTCCCTTCGAGCTGATCATAACAGATTAAAAATGCAGTTGAATTTTCCTCTGAAGTAAGACTGCTGGTGCCCCTGTGGGTCCACCATTTGCTTTGATTTCTACACAAAGTTACAGCTAGCACAAAAAAATATGCAAGACTGTAGTGTGACTAGTATTTGCTGTATTTCTTAAATAGTCAAAATAAACTGTTGTTAATAATAAGCATTATGTTGCATAATAACAATATATTGGCATAATAACAATAGATGTGAGGTTTCTAGAGCCAGCCCTGAAAATAGATTAGCCTCAAATAAACAAATTGAGTATCTGTTCAAATGCATATGGGATCAGCAAGTGGGCTGTTCTGTTGGTATAGGCAAGCTGACAATGTCTGCCCTGTTAGAGGGGAGGAAAGGTCTAAATTCATACAACCTAATAGCTTTTAGTTTACTGTGTGTTCCTGTAGCTAATAATATCACTTAGTGACTTGATTTTGTTTAGTCACTTCAGAATACAGCAACCCCCCCCCCCCTAAGTCTTTAAGATAAATATTTTGGGTTATCTAGCCTAAATTTAGGGCTACACAAAGTGTATTTTATGTTGCTCCATTGATGTAAGTCAGGTTTGCAACAGTTCAAATTTGAGGAAGATTTTCCTATGTTAGAAGACTTCAGTAACAAAGGGTTTGTTATTGCTGATCCTATGTTGTGTCTCTAAGAACAGGCAGTTATGTAGGTTAGAATGGAAAATAACCCTCAAGTACTAAACTGCTCTGGGAGGTCAGTTTATTTTAAGTGCCACCCATCTGTCTTTATTTTCCATGGAACTTATTTGATTATGTTGAGCACAGCTTGGTTCAGTATTAGGACAAGGACCAAATATTTGCTTTCTTGACTTGGTGTGATACTGAACTTGCAGGCCCATACACTGCTCTGTACAAAGACTTCTATTCATGGTAGGTAAAGATGAATACCTATAAGTCTGCTGGTTTGAAATCCCAATATGCAGGAGACTAGCTCAGTTAGCTCTGCTTGTCTTCCATTTTTTTTCCTTTGTTTTATTTTATGGGTTTTGTGGGCTTGACTTAACAGTGTGTTTTGGTAAAACTCATACACAGAGAGAGTGGGCAGTCATATTACAGACTACTCATGCACTGCTGTCTCCTCTTAGTGAATGACTAATTCGCTGAGTGATGATATGTTGGAACCAGTCCCATTAAAAGCAGCTTTACTTTCTTAATTTAGTTTGTTTACCCTGTAGGCATTCTTGGAATGCCAACATAGCAACATTGGCAAAGTTCAAAATGTTATTGTAATTGATTTAGTGTTACTATCCACCAGCACATATGCAGACTTTAAGGTATCAAAATGATCCATTTTGTGAACACTGTAACTCTTAGAGAATAACATTGATTGCTTTATATTTTTAATTATTAGGCTAACAGAGTTTGGATATAGCAAATGTATGCTATTAATTTTAAAAGCCTGCAGTTCTTGCAGAGAATTATTCTCAATCCTATGATTACCTGAAAATTTCAGGATAATGTCTGTTTTGAAATGTTAGTGAAATCAAATTTCATCCATATAACCATAGAAAACAGTTTAAATTATTTTTTCTCTATTTTTATTTAATGTCAACCTTTCTTCAGTGAATATAGTTTTCAGTAGTAATAAATTATTATCAGCATGTAGTATATTTTTAAACTAATTATATACCTGAAAATTGTGCTTTCTGTACTGCACTGAATTATAAATAAACTCATCTACTGAACTATATGTGTAAATGTAAACATTGCATTGGGACTCTGTTTACTGACAAGATCTGGTTAGAGTTCTATTCTCTGTTTAAAATTTGAATAAATATTATTGTCGAAACTCTAAATCCAGAAGTCCAGGGTTTCAGATTTGTGCCTGGTTTTTACAATCACAAGTTGGCCATGTTTGGCATATAAAGTTCATGTGTACATGTTAAGGAGAACATTGCGTGATTTGATAGTAGAACATCTTTCCTAACTTCTGTATGCTTTTGATATTTCTTATAATGCTTTATTTCATAAGGACAACTTAATTTCAGTTCTTTTAATATAACCAGTTCTGTCTTGCCTGTAGTACAGAGTTTATTGAATGGTATGACCAAAAGAGGTTGGAAATCACGTAGTCCAATCTATTGTTCTTTTTCAATATTACGATCTATCTAGTTCAACTGTCAACCTCGTACCACTATAATCACCCCTAAACTATATCTCTGTGTGCCACATCCCGATGCCTCTTGAACATTTCCAGAGACAGTGACTCCACCACCTCCCTGGGCAACTTATTCCAATGCCTGACCACTCTTTCAGTGAAAATTTTTTTCTAATATCTAATCTGAACCTCCCCTGGCACAATTTAAGGCCATTTCCTCTCGTTCTTTCACCTGAGACATTTCTTTGAAATAAAGAAATCCTGTGCGATTAACTATTCAGGACTTGGAGAAACATATTTTAAGTCAACTTTATAATGGTAATAGTTAGACTTGCAAGCATTCTAGAAAGCCATTTAATCTGTTCCTGCCTGAAGTAGATTACTTACCTAAATTATTCAGACTTGCAGTGTGTTTACCTTGGCTAGCTGCCAGGTGCCCAACAAGCCACTCTATCACTCGCCTTTCTCAACTGGACAGGGGAAGAGAGAAAATACGATGAAAGGCTTCTGGGTCAAGATAAAGACAGGGAGAGATCACTCACCAATTACCGTCACAGGCAAAAAAGGAAAGGACCCATGCTGAAGCAGTTTGTGCAGAACTGCAGCCTGTGGGAAGGACCCACATTAGAGAAGTTTGTGAAGGACTGTGTCATGTGGGTGGGACCTCAATGCTGGAGCAGGGGAAGAGTGTGAGGAGGAAGGAGCGGCAGAGACAATGTGTGATGAACTGACTGCAACCCCCATTTCCTGTCCCCTTCTGCTGCTTGGGGGGAAAAGGTAGAGAAGTCTGGAGTGAAGCTGAGCTTGGGAAGAAGGGAGGGGTGGGGGGGAAGATGGTTTTTAGATTTGTTCTTTCTCATTATCCTACTCTGACTTTGATTGGTAATAAATTATATTAATTAGCCTGTGACGGTAATTGGTGAGTGATCTCTCCCTGTCTTTATCTTGACCCAGAAGCCTTTCATCGTATTTTCTCTCTTCCCCTGTCCAGCTGAGAAAGGCGAGTGATAGAGTGGCTTGTTGGGCACCTGGCAGCTAGCCAAGTGTTTTGGTTCTGGCCAGGTGTAGTGGGTTGACCCTGGCTGGATGCCAGATACCCACTAAAGCCACTCTCTCAATGCCCTCTGCAACTGGACAGAGGAGAGAGAAAAAACAGCAAAGAATTCATGAGTTAACAGCTGGGAGAGGTCACTTACTAATTACCTTCATGGGCAAAACAGGCTCAAAGTAGGGATAGTACTTAAATTTATTACTAACAGGATCAGAACAAAAGAGTGAGAAGTAAAATAATCTTAAAAACACCTTTCCCCCACCCCTCCTTCCTTCTAAGTTCTCCCTGCTCCCCCCCAGCAGTGCAGGGAGACAGGGAATGGGGGTTGCGGTCAGCTGTTGTTTCTGCCGCTGCTCAGAGAGAGGAGTCCTTCCCCTGCTCCCATGGGGTCTCTCCGACTGGAGACAGTCCTTCACAATCCTTGCTGGCATGAGTCCATCCCACAGGCAACAGTTCTTCCCAAACTGCTGTCCCGTGGGTCACTCCTCCATGGGGTGCAGTCCTTCATGAATGAGCTGTACTGATGTGGGTCCCCCACAGGGCCTCAAGTCCTACCTGGGAAAAACCTACTCCAGTGTGGGCTCCTCTCTCCACAGGCTGCAGGTCTCTGGCAGGACCCTGCTCCATCATGGGCCTCCCATGGGGTCACAGCCTCCTTCAGATATCCACCTGCTCCAGCATGGGCTCCTCCATGGGCTGCAGATGAGTCTCTGTACCCCGATAGTCCTCCATGGGCTGCAGGGGCACAGCTGCTCCACCATGATCTGCACCACGGGCTGCAGGGGCCTCAGCTCTAGCACCTGGAGAACCTCCTCCCCCTCCTTCTGCACTGACCTTGGTGTCTATGTTGTTGTTCCCATGTTCTCACTCCACTCTTCCCTGGCTGCAGTTTTCATCTGTGCAATAACTTTCTGTTCTTAAATATGTTATCATGGAGGCGTTACTATCATTCCTAATTGGCTTGGCCTTGGCCAGCAGCAGGAAGTCTGTCCTGGAGCCAGCTGGCATTGGCTCCACGGGACAGGGGAAGCTTCTAGCAGCTTCTAACAGAAGCCATCCCTGTAACCCCCCCACTACCAAACCCAGCCACAGAAACCCACTACACCAGGACAGGGTTAATTTTTGCAGTAGCCAGGAGGGGGCATGGCCAGGACCCAGAGGTTATTCTGTACCCCCTTAACAGAGGTTGAGAGGGGATCACGGCTCCCTCACTCCATGTCGGGGCCGAGTTGTGCAAGCCCTGTGCTGGTGGCAGAAACCACACTGTGCATTGAGGTCCGGTGGTGAAAAAGCAATTTATTCAAAGCAGCAGGGGTTTTTATCCCCTCTGTGGGAGGGATTAGGAAGGGGGCTGTGTTTGTACTGGCTGGGGGGGGGGGAAGGGGGAAGGGAATGGTTTGGAGAGTCAGCTAGCCAACGGGGAAACAGGGGGATTGAACTCCAATAGAAAACCAGGGATTGGGGAGAGACAGGTGAGAAGACCAATGGGGTTACAACAGGGGTGGGGGCTGGCTCAGTGAGGAAGACAGCATGGCACTGTACAGGGAGACCGCATGGGTGAGGGAAACAACAGGGCTTTAAGGGAAACTCGTACAATAAAAATGCAAATAAACTGTAAGTGTTTTCAGTTTGCCGAATTCCGGAGCTGCTGCCGTGGTGGCTCCTTTTCTAAAGGCGTTCTTTCCATGATTCGTATTTCGCGTGTTCTCCCACACCCCCTCACGTCATTGCTGGTGGTGGGGAGAAGGGAATCTCTTCCAGGGAGAAGGGGTCTCTTCCAGTCGGGGTAGTGTGGCTGCGGTCAGGCTGGGCCAGGCTCCTCCACAGTGAACATTTTGCATGTTTTTTAATATTGTTGCTATTACTGTTTGTTTTCTTATCTCATTGCTGTTTCCAGTAAATTGTTCTTATCTCAATCCACAATCTTTACCTTTTGTGCCTCCAGTTTTCCTCTCCAGCCACCCGCAGGGGGAAGGGGGAGGGAGCAAGTGGTAGGGTGGTTAGGAGAGTCTCAGTGGGAACACTAAATTGGGGAGTACTATTGCTAAACCATGACACCAAGGTAAACCCACTGCAATGTCTGAATAATTTAAGTAATCTACTTCAGGCAGGAACAGATTAAATGGTTTTCTAGGATGCTTGCAAGTCTAAATGTAACCAGTTGTCATGGTATAGAAATGGTATTCCCCAATTTAGTACTCCCACTAAAAAGACTGCGTCCTGCTCCCCTCCCCTCCTCTCTGATGGGAGGTACAAAAGGCAAAGATCACGAGTTCAGATAAGAACAATTTACTGGAAACAGAAATAAGAAAATGAACAGTGACAGCAACAATATTAATAACAAAAGTATAGAAAAGAGAGGGTGATTCACATGCAGAAATGCTCACTGCAGCCCTCAGGCAAAAATGAACAAATAGTGGACAGCTTTCTCCCTCCTGCCACACTTTCTCCACCAGAAGCCCCGACCTTCTTCTTGGAAGCCAGAGTCCCTTACCCCCACCCCTGGCAATGACTTGAGGTGGTATAGAATAACCTCCTAGCCATGCTCACATGGCTCCAGGCTCCGCCCCTTCACAGCTACTGCAAAAAATTAACTCTGTCCTGGCCGGAACCAGGACACCAGTATAGACTTAAAAGATGTTTCTCTAAGAACTGGAACCAACTCTGTGTGAGCAGACTGCTAACTGAACAAATGCTACCTTGCTACCCAGGCACAGAGATTTCCTACCTCTGTTGTATCTCGGGTTCATTTTTTGGGGTTCTGTTTTGTCTCTTACTATACTATAAACCTTTTCAATTAGGGACTTGCCTTCAGAGTAATAATACAGTGGGGGTTTCCATTTTGGGTTTTTTTTTAACCTTGCCTCATATAATTATTTAATAATAAGTCATTGTAAGATAAATGTTTGGAGTTCCTGTATGAGAGTTCACTAGGATGTTTGGAATATGATTCTTTTAAAAATCAAGTTGACTGTACTACTTGAAAAATGTTAAATATTGTTAACTTCTGGAGGACTTTCCAAATGCCTAAGATCCGTTCAGAAACATTTAGTCTACTGACTAGTCATGTTGAACAAATTTATTTGATTTTCTTATATTTGCCTTTTTATATTTTGTTTTTTCTGTGAGAGTACTTTTATGTAGAATAACGAATCTCAGAAGTCAGTCAAAGCATAACATGGTTGTTATTGGTTAAGAAGGCAGGAAGAAATACAATTGCTTTTCCAGGTTTGGTTGTTTTAATCAAGGTATGATTTCATGATCAGCTGAACTATGTGTCTGTTCACTATGCCCTGGGCTGGAAGCACATTTTATGTAGCTGTCATGAGTTGGATGAGAGAGCAGAGTGACCCAAGAAATAGTTTTTGACTGTGTGTAAAGGATTGCTAGTTTTGATGTGTGAAAGGTAGCAGTAATATGTCCAAGAAGAAAGGATACTGCTCCTTTCAGTATCTGCACAAATTTGGACTGAATTAACATAATGTTTTGTTGCATTCCCAGCATGTCAGCAATGGATTGTTTCAATAGCATGTTTCTAGGTTGTATAAAGCAAAACATATTGTGGAAGTGGATTAATATAATAAATGTGAGCAAAATAGTTCTTCCTCAAATTATTAAAAAAATAATAGTTCAGTATTCAATTACATAATTATATTATATTAACTTTTGTTTAGTTCAAGGAAGAAATCTCTAAGCATTTCAAGTCCCACACTGATCAACTTGTTTTGATATTTGCTGGAAAAATTTTAAAAGATCAAGATACTTTGATTCAGCATGGGATTCACGATGGACTCACTGTTCACCTGGTCATCAAAATGCAAAACAGGTAACCTGACTGATGATGAACAATCTTATTTTTACCTCAAAGTAGTAAAAATATTCTTAATTTCTAATGTGATAGCTTTCTGATGGGCAAACCTAGGTTTGACTAAAATGTTTTCAAAAGCATTGCAAATACTCTTGCACAAGAGAAGCAACCCCAAAATGTGTGCGGTCGTGTCCCTAAATATCACGCATACACTTTTTGAAAGTTAACGTTATCTTCTAAACTGAGCCATTACTATTAAATCACTTGAATTGGCTTCTTAGTTGTAGTTGGTGCAGAATAGCAGTCTGAATACAATCTGAACAGTCCTTGATCTGTTTCACTGTGTGATAGCATCCATGCTTATGCCCCTACAGTAGACAGGTGTGGTGAGCATACAAATTGGGCAAGCAGCCTCTAGTGCTTGTGCTAATTTATGATGGCATTAACTTAGTGTAACTACATTGTTACCATGTTCTTACAGTATTAAAGAATATTGGATTTCTGATATTATTCTAGTGATGAAATAAGACTTTAACTTAATTTGATGTTCAGTGGGGTGACCTACTAATGGTATGGTATGGAATAGATCCTGTATTATAGATCTTGGTAGCCTTCTCTCCTTTAAGGATAGTATAAAAAGATGGTAACAGTTGCAGTGATGCTCATCCATTTTCTTAGTGTTAGAAATTACTGTTCTGAAGAAGTGATGAGATTATAGATATCTGAGAATCACAGCATGATAGAGGTTGAAAGGGATTCTCAAGGTCATCTGGTCCAACACCCCTGCTCAAGCAGGGCCACCTGGAGCCATTTGCCCTGGAACATGTCCAGGTGGCTTTTGAACATCTCCAAGGAGGGGGACTCCTCAAGCTCCCTGGGCAACCTATTCCAGTGCTCAGTCACCCTCACAATAGAAAAAAAAGTCTTTCCTTCTGATCAGAAAAGAACCTCCTATGTTTCAATTTGTGCCAGTTGCCTCTGGTCCTGTCACTGGGCACCACTGACAAGAGCCTGGCTCCATCTCTTTGCACCCTCTCTTCAGGTGTTTACATACATTGATGAGATCTCCCCTGAGCCTTCTCCTCTCCAGTCTAAACAGTCCCAGCTCTCTCAGCCTTTTCTTGTAGAAGGGATGTTCCAGTCCTTTTGTCATTTTTGTGGCTCCTTGTTGGACTCCCTTCAGTATGTCCATGTCTTGCTTGTACTGGGTAGCCAAGAACTAGTCACAGGACTCCAGGTGTGGCCTCACCAGTGCTGAGCAGAGGGGAAGGATCACCTCCCTCTACCTGCTGACAACACTCCTAATGCAGCCCAGGATACCATTTGCCTTCTTTGCAGCTGTGGTGGGTTGACCTTGGCTGGACACCAGGTGCCCACCCAGTCGCTCTATCACTCCCCTTCCCAGCCATAAAGGGGAGAGAGAATAAGCTGGAAAACAATTCGTGGGTTGGGATAAGGCAGTTTACTAGAGCAAAAGCAAAGCAAAAGCTTGCATGCGCAAAAGCAAAGCAAAAAATAACAGGATTAATATTCTACTTCCCATCAGCAGTGATGTCTGGCCACTTCCCGAGAAGAAGGGCTTCAGCACATGTACTGGTTTTTTAGCAGGCAGCCATTGGAAACAACAAATACCCCCCTTCCTGCTCCTTTCCTTAGCTTTTATACCTGAGCTGATGTCATATGGTATGGAATATCCGTTTAGGTAGTTGGAGTCAGCTGGCCTGGTTGTGTCCCCTCCCAGAATCTTGGCCTTGATTGAGGAAGGAATGTTACAGTACTGGTGCTGTGCTCAGCAGTAGCCAAAACACTGGTGTATTATCAACACCCATCTAGCTATCAATACACAGCACAGCACTGTGAGGGCTGCTATGAGGAAATGAACTCCATCTCAGCCAGATCCAATACAATCTCCACCCCTTATTCCATACCATTTGTGTCATACTCAGATCCCACATAATCTATATATCTTCTGATTATCTCCCATGGTTTCACAGATAGATATTATTTTTTCCCATTTTATGACCTTCTTTCACCCCTCCAGATCTTGGGCTCCATTCCATCAGGAGGGGTACTCAGGACAGGAGAAGCAACACAATTGGTCGTTGGGCACTGACACCAGCTCAGCTCGGGTCATTGTTGCGCTCTCCTTCCTCCTCGCAAAATTTGTTCTTCGCTGTCCTGCTACTTTACTTCCTGCAACATACGACTTAAAACACAGATTATTTTTCCCACAAGGTTAAATCTCCTTGAGGCACACACCAGGTCTCCCCATCCTCCCGCATTACCCATCAGGTACACCCTGGCCCCTGAGCAAAGACAATCCCACGGATGGGTTTGCCTTTTCTCATGGGAGGAGAAACCCACACCAACTTCCCCAGCTACTTCCTTACGTGTAGTACAGGAAGCTTATCCCCTCCCACAGTGTATAGAGGTTTTGTTTGGGCAGGACCAGGGTGGTTGGCAGATCCCCTAGTGTTGACCAGCCAAGTGGCTTCAGCTAAATTTGCCTCCCAATGCTTCCATGTCCCATTACCTAATGTTCTTAACATAGTCTTTAACAGTCCATTATACCTCTCAATCTTCCCAGAGGCTTGTGGGTGATAAGGGATATGATAGATCCACTTGATGCTGTGTTTCTTTGCCCAAGAGCTTATAAGATTATTCTGAAAGTGAGTCCCATTATCTGATTCAATTCTCTCTGGGGTCCCATGTCGCCATGTACCTCTTGAGGCCTAAGATGGTGTTTCAAGCAGTGACCTGGTTTACAGGATATGTTTCCAACCAGCCAGTTGTTGCCTCCACCATGGTGAGCATGTAGCTCTTGCCCTGGCGTGCTCTTGGCAGTGGTCCAATGTAGTCAATATGCCAGGCCTCACCATATTGGAAACCCAGACACTGCCCTCTATTTCAGAGAGATTTTACTCACATGGCTCACTTGATTGCCCCAGTGTTTCACATTCCTGAATAACCTGTGTGATGGCCTCCATGGTCAGGTCCACCCCTCTCGATCACAAGCCCATCTGTACGTCGCATGTCTTCCTAGATGTCCTGATGTTTCATGGGCCCATTGGGCTCACTCTTCTGCTCACAGTCTAAGTCTATCTGAGCTATTTCAATCTTGGCAGCCTTATCCACCTGCTCATTGTTCTGATGTTCTTCAGTGGCACGACCTTTGGGCATGTGAACATCAACGTGACGCACTTTCAGAGTCATGTTTTCCACCCGTGCAGTGATGTCCTTCCACAATGCAACAGCCCAGATGGGTTTACCCCTGCATTGCCAATTGGTCTTCTTCTATTGCTGTAGCCACCCCCACAGGGCATTAGCCACCATCCGCGAGTCAGTGTAGAGATACAGTACAGACCACCTTTCTCATTCAGCAATCTTTAGGGCTAGCTGGATGGCTTTCAATTCTGCAAATTGGCTTGACTCACCCTCTTCTTCAGCAGCCTCAACGACCCATTGTGTAGGACTCCACACAGCAGCTTTCCACCTCAGATGGTTTCCTACCACACGGCAAGATCCATCAGTAAACAGAGCATAGTTTCTTTCATTTTCTGGTAACTAGTTATATGATGGTGCTTCTTGGGCATGAGTCGCCTCTTCAGGCCATGCTCCAAAATCTCTGCTTTCTGGCCAGTCCATAATCTCTTCCAGGATTCCCAGGAAATTGGGTTTTCCCATTCGGGCTCATTGTGTAATCAAAGCTACCCACTTATTCCATGTAGCACTGGTTGCGTGATGCATCAAGGGGATGTTTCCTTTGAACATCCAGTGCAGCACGGGCAATCGCGGTGCCAAGAGGAGACATGCTTCTGTCTCAACAACTTCTGAGGCGGCTTGAACCCCCTCATAGGCTGCTAATATCTCCTTTTCAGTTGGCATGCAGTGGGCTTCTGATCCTCGATGACCCTGGCCCTAAAACCCTAATGGTTGACCTTGGGTTTCGCCTGATGTTCTCTGCCAGAGGTGGAGACATAGTTGCTGTTTTGTTCACCACATCCATGGGCACATGACGACATCCATCCTGCCATTTTATTCCCAAGAACTAGATCTCCCATGCAGGTCCCTTTACCTTACTTTGTTTTATGGCAAAACCAGTTTTCAGAAGAATTTGGATTATTTTCCTCCCTTTCTCAAAAACTTCTGCTGTCTTGCCACACACAATGATATTATCAATATAGTACAGGTGTTCTGGAGCTTCCCCCTGTTCCAGTGCAGTCTAGATCAGTCCATGGCAGATGGTTGGACTGTGCTTCCACCCCTGGGACAGTCGATTCCAGGTATACTGGACACCCCTCCAAGTGAAGGCAAACTGTAACCTGCACTCTGTTGCTAGAGGAATGGAGAAAAACACATTAGTGATGTCAATTGTGGCACCACTTGGCTGCTTTTGAGTCCAGCTCAAATTGAAGTTCCAACATGTCCAGCACAGCAGCACTCAGAGGTGGCGTGACTTCATTCAGGCCACAGTAGTCCATTGTCAACCTCCATTCTCCATTAGACTTTTGCACTGACCATATGGGGCTGTTAAAGGGTGAGCGGGTCCTGCTCCTTGCCTCTCCAGTCAATGAATTAGCTCATGGATGGGAGTTTATGGAGTCTTGGTGCAATATTGCTGTTGGTGTACTGTTCTGGTGGCAATTGGCACTCGTTGGTCTTCAACTTGCATCAATTCCACAATGAAGGGATCTTCTGAGAGGCCAGGCAGGGTAGATAACTGATCTTCTCTGTAGCCACAGTAGCTACACCAAAAGCCCATCGATATCCCTTTGGATCTTTGAAGTCTCCCCTCCTGAGGTAATCAATGCCAAGGATACAAGGGACCTCTCGACCAGTCACAATGGGGCGCTTTTCCCACTTGGCCCCTGTTAAACTTCAACCACTAATAAAGACAACTCCTGGGATCCCCCTGTCACTCCAGAGATCCAGATGGGTTCCGCACTTCTGTGCCTTTAGGGCATCAGTGTGCACTGAGCACCAGTATCCACCAAAGTTCTATACCTCTGTGGATCTGA